GATGGCTTGGTTAACAGAGAGAGCGCCACATCACACACAGGGCCTACCTCAAAATGATTCAGCACTTTGTGTCAGGAAAGAAAACAGATTGAATATGTAATCTAATGCTAAATACTCCCTTAAGTGTTTTTTTACCAGTAGAATAGTAAACTGCTTGTCAACATTATTTTTAGTTGTTGCTTCCACAGGTTTTAGGCTTTTTCAGTTTACATTAAAATCTACCTCAGTGTGGATATATCTTAAATTTGACAACCCTGCTCTCCTTAATGGTTGCTATTTGTTTGTTGTCTCTATATTTTGTTTGCTGACTGATATTTATATGCCTCTCTTCAGAGGCTCTTTGTCTGCCTGTCTGAGAGCAGTACTAATTCCCCCAGGCTGCTGAAGCACAGCAGATTCCAAGGAAACAACAGCAGCAACTCACAAATTAATACTTTGTTAACTGGTGCAAAGATTAAAATAGGAGTCAAATGGGAGAATAATTCATTCCAAAATTGCACTGACAATGTGTCTGCCTGTCTGTCTGTATTTAAAGGACTATTCTTATACTTTGGGAAGCTTGTTCAGTATCAATTTCATCTTTGTGCAAGCTCAGTGACGAATTTAGCCTAGCTTAGCATAGCACAAAGAGAGGAAGCCAGGGAAACAGTGAGCTAGTCATGTTTACATATTGTGTCTTTTGTAATGTGTACATGAGAAAACAAGACACTGGTTTAATGAGCAGTTAGCCTCAGAGATGGGAGGTTTGACTCTTTTTACTGGAGTTTGTATGGGTCACTCACTAAAGAAAATCAGGTTTTCAAATAACTCGAGACATCAAGTCAGTCACCCAGAGCTTGGTGAATCACATACCAGCCCTAGCACTTATAGAGCATGCGCACCGGCTAACTTCCGGTTTAGCCCTCCCCTTGAATGGGATTAAATAATTTCATTTTGTGACTCTTCTAGACTTTTCAAATGTTATCTGTCCGAATGGATCAAATTCCATCCATCGTCAACCGTCCTGCGTACAGGGTCGCTGGGGGCTGGAGCCAATCCCAGCTTACATTAGGACTCTGGATTTTATTTCAAGACCAGTTAAGACCATAACTTTTATTTTACATCCTAGCTTTGATTGGATGTAGAACGCATTGTTTCAAATGCAACCAATAACCCTAATTAAAAATGTGTTGTTATCCATTAACGACGGTCAACCCTCCCCACAATGGTAAGCATGGAAAAGGAGTGTTGAATAAAGATTTTGTATGTTGATTTCAGCCAACCAGAGAGTAACTGAACGGCAGGCGGTTGCACAGAAACTGGATGCCCCTGAAAGAGAAGCGCAGGAACTTCCTGTGTGCTGGGATGAGGGGAACATGAAAATACACATCCTTCAGGTCGATGGAGGTCAGCCAGTTCCCCTGGCAAACACACTCCAGCACCTGCTTCACCGTCAACATGCGAAAAGGTCTGTCCATGATCACTTTGTTGAATAGTGGCTTCACACAGAAGAACGCCGTGAGGTTAGGCTCCAGTGGAGGGAACGGGCTGAAACCCTGGTCTGAGAAGCCTCCCACCTTGGTGATGGGAATGTAGGTGGAAACAGGATCCAAGGCGGCACCTTCCTGTACCGCCAGATGGGAGGGAAGCACGGCCAGACCGGGAAAAATGGGGAGCCGCTGGGAGACCCGTGAATGGAAGAGGAGGAACCGTACAACTCCGGCTCTTCCAGAAGAAGCAGGCTGAGGGCTTCTTCCAAGGAGTGGGTGGGCTTCCACACCTCCTCCTGCTGAACGGTGAAATTATCCACCTGACTCTCAACAGGAGTGAGGACGGCACAGAACAGGCATTGTGAGCCGGGAGTGAGTGTTCGGCCAGCATTCTCTGGGCCGAGGCACGCCTTGCAGCGGGGATGGAGATCCCCGGGCTTGATGTAGCCGAATTAGTTGAATGAGTTGTTCGTTTCGAACTATTAACACATGACTCACACATCACTAGTTAGCTTTTTTTAGTTACACTTTTTTTTACATGGCAGTGCTTATCACCACAAAAATCCTGTTGGTTTCACACACTTTCCCATCTCTAAACAAAATCCCAGTTGATTTTTGGAAGTATTGCTGGCAGGTTTGCGAGCTAGCAACTTATAATATGTAAAAAGACAATTCTGGAGTAGTTGGAAGGTGTATTTTTTTCCTGTTTAGTGAGAGGATAGCTGTTTCGTACTGATACCAATGGCTGCGCTAATCTAGGCTAAAGACTTCATGCATAGAGAAGAGAGGATCTTGTCATGTAATTCCTAAGACAACAAACAAATGTTCTCCTTAGAGCTTTTTTTAGTACAACCAACCACTGAACAAGACCTTTTTAGGTGACCAAAATGTTACAATAAACTTTTATGACCTGAAAACACACTGTAAGAACACAGATAGCACCCAAAGTTCACTGCTAGTTAAATGTATACAGTGCAGTGGATAGATTTACCTCTGATTGACAGATCGCTGTGGTAGTGTCTTGTCAATCACAACGTAGCCACGCCCTAAAGTGTAACCTGCTTTACCATCTATTTTTCTCTAAATGGGACCATAATTTACTAAACATCATGCTGTATTCAAGAAGACTTGAAACTAGCGACTGAGACCATAAACTCATTATGAAAGTGTATACTGAGATAAAAATCAGTATACAATTAAGAAATGAATGTGACTGTCTCCCTTCAAGGAGTAGCAGCCCTTTTTGGTTTCTGTTAGCGTGATATGGGTCTTGTGTGTGTGTGTGTGTGTGTGTGTGTGTGTGTGTGTGTGTGTGTGTGTGTGTGTGTGTGTGTGTGTGTGTGTGTAAGGTCACACACATTCACATTTTAATATGTCTGCAGAGCCAACGCCTCTGTCCATTGAAGAGAAATGGCTTTGATCCTGAGGCACAAACAGGTGAAATTTACAGCCATGGGCCCCCTGCTCCACCGCCTGATTCTCATTTCCACCACCATCACAGCCCCATGTAGACACTTATTACCAGACAGAACATAAAACATGCTTCTCCCTCAACATCGTCTCCTTTATCCCCCAAGATAGCAAACGGGGAGACATTAAAAGGAGACCAGGGAGGGGTCTGCCCCTCATACTATGCATCCGAATATTGTTGAAACCTACAAAACCTTAATTCATTTTAAATTCCAGAGGAGATCCCAAAATTTCACAATATGTCCAGGTATTTCAGGCCAAATTTTGGAAAGATGTGTGTAAAACGATGCATGAGACACCTTGAATATTTCCACTTGACAAAATGGTGTAGCCATAAAAAAGTGGACTCTTGGGGTTGAATATTCCACAGAGTAAACGTACTAGAGCTTCAATGAAGAGATGAAACAAGTTGATGTGTATGCAATACTGTTAGACAGTGTAAAATTAATGATTTTTACAACCTTAGAGCCACTTACGGGGAAATAAAAAGGGGAACACTGGATGTTAATATTATGAGATGTCAAGGAAAAATAAATCAAAGGAAAATATGTTTATTGATGAACTGAAAATGTGTGCAATAATTACAGAATTACGCACTTGAGAAATCAACTGCTATACATGTTGTTGCATTGGGACTGAAGGCTAAGCACCCTCTGATAGCGTTTAGCTGCTATAAATTTCAAATGAATCCCAGAGTTTCCTACGAGAGGCAACATCGCATGCATGGTAGCAGTAAGTTCTGTTTTTCATGTTTGTATAGCCTCAGCATTTTCACGTGTTTTCTGTGGTTATGAAGAATGGGCAGGGTGGCTAAGGTGAGACTTGAAATAGAAAGTTAAAGTATTCTTCAAGTTTGAAGCAAAAGGAGGGAGGGCTGTTTCATAACAGGGCTTTCACGGCGGCAGTTCACTGGGTGGCTCTCACCACACCTTTTACTCAGCAGCATTGCAGGGGTATAAATCTTTGAAGAACTGCAACCTGCGTCACGCATGCACACCCAGCACTAAGGCTGTCCCACGCAATCAGTGGGCTAGGGGAGATGGGCTAATCAGAGACAATCCACAAGGCCCAAGGTCTCAAGGTCTAGGACTGAAGGGGTGTTGGTAAGTGTGTTGAGCAGGAGCAGGGGTGCAAAGATCAACATACAGTACAGCAGCAGGTAATCCATCATGTATGCCTTTAATACACGTCTGCAGTGTGGCCCCGAGAAGCAAAAGAAAACAAATATCTCCAAGGAAGAGGTCAAGGTGACATTGCTTTCCAGTCTCTATTGGTCCAAAGCTATATTTACTTTAACAGATAAATCAAGGCACCACAATTATTTTCCTCAGGTTTCAAAACATGCTAGAGGAATAGTTACATTACAGTATTGGCATTCACAACCCTTAAAGGTTCACAGATACACTGGCTTTTACTTTAGCCACAGATGTGTATAGTTATATACATATATGTATAATGTCATCGTAGTAGGTACTACAGGTTGATCCGCTACAGAAGAATCATGTGCTCATATGCCTCTACAGAAACCTGTGTATATTCATTCATCCATCCTATTACATATCACTTCGGCTCATCATTAATCAGTGCTGGAGGAAGTATTCTGAAATTTTTCTTAAACAGAATAGGCAATACCACAACACCACCTTATATAATATTATGTATTATAATCTGAGTCTGCAAATAGTAACTATAGATATCAAATAAACAAAGTACAATATTTCCTCTGAAAAGTAATGGAGTAGAAATGTAAAGTAGCATAAAATCAAGCACATGTACCTCAAATGGTAGTTCAGTACAGCACTTCAGTAAATGTAAATGGTTAGTTACTTTCCACCACTCATTAATCCTCAGTTATCACCAATCAAATAAGTGTAGCGAGAGTCCAGGTAAGTTATTATAGCACCATTTATGGGATGCTAATGAATTGATGTGTTTTTAGATTTATCACACAGACTTTCAACGAGTACAAGATATTAGCTTTTCTACACTACACTACCCACTATGGAATCCTCAACTCAAAAGTGTGTGTCGCATGTAAAATAAACACGATGAAATCATGTGCAGCCTAAACAATGTCAAGTCTTTATTGATATGGTGTCATACAGCAATACATAAGCAGTAATAACAGTAAAGAGAATAGCATGTCAACTACATTCAATCCCTATGCTTTTATAGTCATGGTAGCTCTAATTAATGCTAATAATGATTAAACACCCCACTTAACAGAATCAAACGCATCACACACTTGGCCAGAAAAACAGTTGCTGGTGTTTTAAGGCATTTTAAATCCTACAGTATTTGCTCTATGACTAAATCTTGATTGTTGCTTTTGGATGGGTGATATTCTTTAGTTTCAGAAAATGTTTAATTTTTTCCCATGACGTGGTTTTGCGTGTGCACTTAGAAAAGTTTGGCAGTGCTGTAGACGTAGTAGACATTTTTTTCAGACACCAATGAAAACTCTTTTGGTATACAGTGCAAAGATAAAGGCCTGACATTTGCAACCATGAACCTTTCATCCATTGTTATAGCTGTATACTATAAAATGTTGTTTATATTTCTTGTAATTCTTGTGCATCTGAGATTTCCCTCTGCTTTTCACTGGAATTCAGTGATCCATTAAACAAAATGCCAAACTTTCAGGTTTGCTGTCCCCCAAAATAATTCCAGTTTTGATAGGCCACTGTGTAGAGATACAAACACACTTACTACAGTACTAAGGTACTTATCACAAGTAAGACAAGTAAAACAACAGGAACCTAATCCAGAACAGTCTGCCATACAATCAGTCATTTTTTGAATTTTCATTGTGAGTGCAGTTTGTCAGGGCATCAATTGCCATGACCAGCAGCAGCAGCGGAATAAGATAGCTGTGTAAAAGTTGGCAGTGCACACGCAGAAAAACAAGCTGTAAGTCTCTCATACTGAAGGGTTTCTAGCAGTGAGGTCATACTAAAACAGACTTTTTATCCAGTCATGGCTACAGTAAGAAAGAGAGAGGTCAAGTTGTTTCAAACAGAGCATGGTCTGGCAGCTTTTGACTGAATTTGTGATGTGTTTTGAGTGTCGATGGCATGGTTTTCCTCTGGCTTAGTGACATGTTATGGATTCAGCGGCGTAAATGTTTCTCCGAGCATCATCGACGACACATGAAATAGTGCTAAATGGATAGATCATACATACATACATCTTGTACATTTGTGCTAAAGCGTAACTTAAAGTTCAGTCTCTAATTGACTGGACTGTATCAGAAGAAATATTCTTCTTCCTTATTGTATTAGCTGCATTTTGCCTCATTTACGGCATCTTAGCATGATTTTCCAGTTTCCCTTTATCCTTTATAGCACATTGTGCAATCTTTTCATCATTACCAAAGTTTTGACATTCTTGTCCAAGTGCCTTAAAGAGGATCTTTCCTTTTTATCTTAATTGTATTAACAGCAGGGATCTGTAGCCTATCTAAGTCACATCCTACAGTAGGCCTATGCGCTAAAATATAGTGCATGTCTATTACAGTTATTAATGAGTGTGACGATGCTCAGCAAGGTAGATGGTGAAAAGGAAGGCATGAGCTGACCTTTTAACCGCAACCAACGGAATCATGTCGATTGAGAAATGGGATAATGGTTTCCATGCAAGCATGAGATCTACATACACCATGCAAATTATACACAATCAATACATTTGTTTTCATGTTTTCTTCAAGTCTCATTTAAACAGCTAAAGAAATACACTTTTCTAGAATGAAACTTCACCGGGAAGTTAAAAAAGGAGTCTGTGCTCGGCCAAGGATGTTCATCCTTTTCAACTCCATTTTTAGTAAACAGGCTCAAAACAATGGCTCAGCAAGACACAATCATATATTATTGTTTATTTTGCCAGGTTTCCTTACTTTGTGCTTCCTTACTAAACTGTCGTTATTATGCCAGGAATAATTGTATTTGTATCGTATAAGTGAATGCAGAAAGAGTAACCGATACTAGCTGACGTGTTTTGAATCTTTTGTCCTTTAAATGTTCACAGTAACACTCGCACACACATGCTTCCATTGGAATGTGTTGAGAGTTTCTCACAGCTTGTGGTAGAAGTGAATGACCAGTTATTATCTATTGTGTTTCAGTATCACATATCGACGTAACATTATCCCAAACTGTGAAAGACTGTTTAAGAATATTATATTTTGAAAGACCGTACTTCTGTAAGAGATGCTACCTAAGTGCTTTTTATTGTTCGATGTTGAGTGTGTGAAGGAGACAGAGAGAGAACAGATGTACTGTGGTTTTGTATAGAGTGATGGTTACAGTAGTTATAATGGATTTCCTTTGGGAATGCATGTGGGGGACACAGGGGACAAGGAAGAATAAACCCATGTAAAACAAACATCTAGCTCCTGCACTCTGCACACTTGTGGAAATCCAACACACAATAATTCAGATAGAAACCATGATATTCTTGCTATGCGTATAATGAGAACGCAAAGCAGAGCCATCATCTTAGATATCCACAAGTGCTTAAATAGAAAGCAAGAGGGTTTGTTTTAGGATGGGAAATGAGAAGAGGAATGGGTTTAAGAGAGGGTAACGAGAAGCTTAAGGGGTCAAAAGCAGGCTTACAGTAAGATCTTAGTTTTTCTGATTGGTGGGAATATCGCTGGGGTCTTGCTGCTTCTCCACCTTCTTGGTGGTGACCACTGTCTCCTCATAAACTTCACGCTGGGAGACCTTGCCTCCAGACCTGCTCTCCTGCTGCTGGTCCTCGTCCTTGCTCTCCTTCTTGCCCTTGCTGGAGCTGGTGTAAATACGGGACTGGTAGTTGTAACCTTGCCCAACACCTGAGCTCATGGAGCTGGGATAGGTAATCCCTGTCCCGATGCGAGTCTCCTCCCCCTCTAGCAGTTTTCTGCAGAGAGGATAATGGAGGGAAAGGATAGGCAATGAGGCAAAGGGGAGGAGATAGAGTGACATTTTTATCTTAGTGTTTAAATTCTGCTTCTCTCACTTTCATGTTATTACATATGGTTATTATAACTGCTAATGAGATTCTACCTGTAAGCTGCGATTTCAATATCCAGTGCCATCTTGACATTGAGCAGATCCTGGTACTCCCTCAGGTGACGAGCCATCTCGCTCTTAGTGGCCCTCAGCTCATTCTCCAGCTCTGCCATGCTGTCCTAAGGACAAATACAACAAGAAAACATTACAAGAAAAGTAGGCCAGGGTTTGAGATGGGTTTTTTTTTTAAGTAAGTGAGAAATTATAGTCTGTGACCACATTGCTTGCAGGGGAATAATAGCAGTGTCCTAACAAAGACCTCTGTCTCCTATTGTTAACCTCTGTGCCCCATGTGACTGGAAATTCGAGTCATTTATGAGTTGTTATGTTAGAAATGTTTGTCCTAAAAACATACTCCCATTCGGAAGCGCAGAATCAAAAACAACACTTGTGTGAAATTACTCATTTGGAGCAGTGGGCGTTGGCAGATGCAGCTGCTGAGCGCGCGGTCCCAGGGGAGTGACTTTCAGCACCACGGACAGAGCCCGACTGACACCAGCTGCTCCTAAAATGATCATTGCTCTGACATTCACTTCTTATGAGAAAAAACACTATCACTTTCAATGTAAATAAACTTTTATGAAGCTAAAAATAAATGGGTGAATTTCTTTTTGTCTATAACCCGTTTGATAAAAGGGGTAGTAACAAATTGTGAAGTTGTAGCCTACTAACCTGGTAGTTTCCTATCTCTGCATTGTGCCTGTCCTCCATCTCCCGGAGCTGCTTTTCCAGAGACTCGTTGGTTCCCCTCAGACTCTCTATCTCGATGGTCTTGGACTGCAGCTGCCTTCTGAACTCGTTAATTTCCTCCCTGCTGGCGCGGATGGCCTCATTACTCCGGGTAGCCTGCTCAGACAAGTCGGCGAACTTGGTCTTGTACCACTCCTCAGCAGACTGCAGGTTCTTTGACGCCATGGACTCGTACTGGCCTCGAATCTCTTTGAGGGCGGAGGTGAGATCCGGCTTGGACACCTCCATCTCCACAGACACCTGGGAAGCCTGGATCATGTCCATCAGCTCGGCCACCTCCTCCTCGTGCACCTTCCTCAGGAAGTTGATCTCGTCCAGCAGAGATTCCACCTTCTTCTCCAGGTCCAGGCGCACCATGGTGGCATCATCCACATCTTTCTTAAAAGCCTTGAGGATGGCTTCTGCCTCCTCCCGGGCACGGAACTCATCTTCGTATTTCCCCCTGAGCTTCTGGAGCTCGTCTTCAATACTATCCCTCTCCAGCATGAACTGGGACTTCTCCCCGTTCAGCTCTTCGAGCTGGGAGCGCAGTTCACGGATCTCTTGTTGGTAAAGCTCGGCCAAGCGGGACGGCTCGGTCTGCCGCTGGCGCAGGGTAGTGAGCTCCGTCTCCAGCACTTTGTTGTGCTGCTCCAAGTTGCGCACTTTCTCGATGAACATTGCAAAGCGGTCATTAAGACCCTGCATTTGTTCCTTCTCATTGGTGCGGATGATTTTGAACTCATTGTTGAGGACGTTGCTCTGTGTCAGGTCGAAGGTCTCCATTGGCATGGACGCGAAGGAGCGGCCGGACTTTCTACTATATGAGCCCAGAGATGGAACGTTGCTCCGGGATAGAGAGGAGGACCGGTAACCTCCCCGTGTGGAGACGTTCACCCCAGTCCGCGATGGAGAGGACGCATAACGGGGAGAATCCCCGAAAATCTTCCTATAGGAGGAGGAGGAAAAGACTTCAGATCCGTAGCTCATCTTGGCGTGAATGGAGACAGAGCAGAGCAATGGGCGCGTCTCCTTTATATAGGGGGCCAACCCAATCCCTAATTAATACCCGATGGCAACATCCGAACTCATTCGTTCCACATGCCTCAGCTGGTCCAGTGTATCTGCGAACCAATGCTGAATATTGTGCTCGAGAGGAATTTCCTTTGCACATAATTAGTCTGCTATTATTCTGATATCAGTTCAGATGTGACACTGTTATATGTGTGAAGCAGATGGATCTGTCAATTTTGGCGCAGTGGTGATGCCACAGTGCATAATCGCTTGTTGCAAATTTAGACACTTAAACACTTAAAACCAAGAAGTATTCAAATGTTTTTCCAGAAGCAGATCTTTAGCTTTTCAAATTAAGGCAACCTCCAGCTTATGCCCATTGTTTCTGTAGGTGAATATATATTGTGAAAATATATTGAAAACATTTGCTATATAATTCCATCCTAATTTCAAATTACCACCAGGTCTACACGTACGCATATATGACATTTAAGTAGAATTACGATGGTGCACTTACTTTCAAAACTTTTTTCTATTGTCTTAGTTGCAAGCTGAAAACTAACATGTTCTACTTTAGAAATGCTGAAAATTGTATTTGTGAGTTGCAGAACCGGAGTTTCACTTGTAACCTTTAGATTTGTGCACCTGCTGACCAGCATCAACAGAGTAGCTCCTAAATAAGGACATTACATTTGAAGATGAATTTGTTCATACAATAAGCTGCATCTAATATCCTCAGGTTGGCTTTGAGGTTGCTCTCAAAGGATTTAGACTTTAATCTTCAGGAAGAAAAAGTTTAAGATCTTAATGTATATTTGAAATTACCATCTGAACATAAATTAAAGTGATTTGATCATTCTTTGTTTTGTTCGGTGTATGATCTATTTAGTTTTATTTTCACTGATAGGCCTTTGCTGCCCTCTGCTGTGAAATTACAGCACACTGCCGCAGCACACATGCATATCAGATTATCGATTAGGACCACTTGATACTAAGTTGCTGTAAGGTTTACTACTACTGCTACAGGATGCTTCGACGAACTGATGATGGATCAGCTGATTTCCCCAACAAGGAAGCATGCAAAACACTACCATGGAGCCTCAACAATCTAGATTAACACAGGTATCAAACCTGATTGTGGTTTTCTCACCTTTATCAGGTGCCATTTTCATTCCGGCCGAGAAGAGGTCATTGCTATCAGAGCTGCAAGCTGAAAGACACAATAAATTTATGCAGAATATTCAAACCTGATGTACTGAGTGCCCTACAAGTGTCCTGGAGAAATCTGTGCTAATATTAAACAATGTTGTAAAAACTGTGAAACAACATGAGGCTCTGCAAGCCAAAGTAAATCATGATGTGGCAGTGGAGGCACATAACACTGTCAATGGAAAAGCTTTTATTCATATTGATTTATATATGTTTAATGCATTTCTGACTTGTGTTTCGGGGAAGAACTGTATGATTCTCCTCAGATGTTGGTCTTGGTCAAATCAAATGAGGATATGCAGTGGCGGCCTTAAGCATGTGGGGGCCCCTTTGAAGAGCTATGGGGCCAACTTAAATGAATTATTTGCAATTACAGCATCATTGACAGAACAACACAGAAATAATCAAACAATGCCCTTAACTGAAAACTGAAACAATGACATTCGATGTATTAGAATATTCTATCAGAAAGTAAGCCAGAGAAATACAGCGGAGAATGAAAAGTGTGCCAACCAGCCACACCCTTACGAAATGGAACAATAGCATTACTATAGTATACTATAAGAATTGTATAGTATCCTATAGTAAGTAGTGTTATGTAGTATTCTTCTGTATTGCTATTTTATTAGCTGCCCTGTAATATTATAATAGCAGCCTAATACTATGTATCTAGATCTTTGTAGCATTCCTATATTATTTTAGTATAACCATATATTATAGTGTTTCTGTTTGAACACACTACAGAACATAGTTATACTATGATAATGTTATGGGGCATGTACAGTTTTACTATAGCAACTTTCTATAGTGTATCCAAAAACATATATAGAAAACACTATCATATCTGTAAAGATGGTAAGTGCCTGAAAACCCATAGTAATACTAAATCATGTTGTAAAATAAACACACAATTTATGGCACAAAGATTTGTTGTTGTTTTTTGTTGTTCTCTTTCCCTCCGTGTGCTATTGTGCTCCTCATCAAGAGAGACCCACATTCTGCTTCTGTATACATGTTTTGTGTAGGCCCATTCTTTTACTCAGTACTTTTCAAATATTAGTGTAAGACCTGTAGGCTTCTCCTGTAACCACAAACACACACACACACACACACTAATATTCAGTTGGTGCACATTTGGTGAATTGTATTATCTGGTTCACTATTATGACTGACAGTAAATAAGATACTTGGATTACTACAATAAGATACTTTCATTACTACATAATGTTGCATTTCACCCTAGGGTGTTCCAACTAACCCAGACAGGTGAATTGTAACATTTTAAACTCCTTGTGTTTGAGACTAAAACATAATTTTCTGGCTGTGTAACAGTGGTTACATTATTTAATAGCAGACACATCAATAATTATCACGCTAAATGTCAAATCATTATTTATTTCAAGTTTAAATGCTCATTTTTACTCCTGAGTGAAAGTTGAAGAAACCAGATGGTTAGTTGTGGTTTTAAAGTATTCTTTATGGTCAGAACAAACACTTGATGCCAAACAGTGGATCACTTCAAAAATCTGGGGTAGAACATTAATAACAATTTTGATAAAATCTTTTTTCAACAAACACGCAAGAGTAAAATAAGTCAAATGTTTTTTCAGTCCATTTTACTCAACAAAATAAATATCTTAATAGAAAAAATAACTGCTAATTTGTCTTATTCAAATGAATTAAATCAAACATTTATTGAACATTAATATTGCAGAAAACATTTCAGACATTTCAACTGTCACTGTTAAAAGAGAGTCCAGCCTGCAGTGTAGTTAATACACATCATGGATAAACAACTGTAGAGTAATATTAGGCTTCAAGTTAAAGGAAAGTTTTTATTCTCTCTCTCTCTCTGCCTGGTTTTAGGGGTACTGAGGAGGTTGCGGCACCACTGTCGTGCAGACTGTCCCTGTCTCTGCAAAATGAGTGAAATAAGTAAGTCTAGTTATTTTAAAAGTGTGTGAATGTTTTTCTTTTTTCGGGGTATATAAAACATTGTTTTACTTACAGTGACATCAATAGGTATTTGGACTGACACAGTTTCTATAGTTTTACCTCTGTACTCAGGGTGTATCTGATATGAAACCATGACTGAGGTCAATGTACAGACTTTTAGCTTTAAGGGTGTTTGAGGTTGTTCAAATTAATATGGTAAACAGACTCATAGCCCTTTTAACAGCCACTATAATTTTAGAACAGTTTGGCAGGACAATGGCAATATGTGAACAGCTGTAAATGAAAGCTGAAAGTCACCACCTCCAAGCCATTGTTTCTTTTAAGACACACACAATGTATCATTGTCCAAATACTCATGGGTTGCACTGTAACTATGTACATTTACTCAAGTACTGTTTATAAGTAAAATTGTACCTACCTGTCTCCTCCACAACATTTCAGAGAGTAATGTTGTACTCTTTCCTCTAATATCAGCTATAGGATAAACTCATGATATACAATACATTGTTAAAGAGAAAACTGTAAAGGAAAGAGTTCTGGCCATTATTTTTTGCAGGTTTGTGTGTGTGTGTATGTGGTCATTGTAGCTACAGATGGTAGGTATGTGTGTATGTGTGAGACTCGGCTCAAAAGTCTCTCTTAATTGAAAATACTAAGAACACAATACAGAACATCGTAGGCGTAACTTGGCCAGAAACATTTGTGCCATGACCCTCTGGATTCAACAAGCATCGGCATCGTTCCGATCACCTTGGGAAGCCCAGCTTTACTCACCTTTATTACGAGTTGGTCACTTTGAGCTGAGTGGAGGTGAGGTCAAAACCCCACAGGTGGGTGGGTTGAATACCCCCCAGGTTTTGCTCCACACGTAACCTGGTCCCCCCAAATGTAAATCACAAGCCCCACAGACAGCATGTAACAGCATGTTGAGCACCCTTATCGGTCTATTACAGCTAACGAGTATCTTGGCATCCAGGATGTGGGGTGTCAGTGATGGTCATTAAATACTGTCCAGACCCCTCAGCTTTAATTCACCTGAAGAGTGGACAACCAGCAAGGTTCAGGAACAGCGTGAATACAGAGTGCACTCTCAGGCCAGCTATCAAGCTCCAGTTACACATGCAGTCAGCCATGTCCAGCCAGCCATGCCACTGGTGATGTCACAGCCAGTACAGCCCTCTCAGGTGTCTGTCCACCAGCGTCCACCACTCAGCTCACGCGGTGAATGAGCCCCGTCCATCACGCACCAGCTGCAGTTTCTCAACCTACTGTTGGATGTGAATTTCCTCCCGGCCCAGGACCCACAGGAGAACGAGCTGAATCCAGCTGTGATGAAGTGGACATGATGAACCATGTGAATGCTGCCCCTGACTTACAGACTGACATAGACTCCAATCCAGTCAGTTTTCCAGTTGACTCTGAAGAGACAAATACTTCACAGCCCACAGTCAGACTTACCCAAACTTAACTCTGACCAAGTTACTGTTCGAGGTACAGTAACCACAAGGGCAGGCAGAGTGGTCAGGTCAGTCAACCGGCTCATTCAGAATATGGTACAGAAACCTATCACACGGGGTCTGTAGCTAAGATAGCTTTAAAGTCACTTCTTTGTGTGCTTTTTGTTTATTTGAAATGTTTTACACGCATCAGACAAGTAATGAGATCCAAGTGTCATGGCTTGTTGGCTGCACCTTAATGTTCGTCAAGGGTTAGAGGCCTGATCAACCATCTTAACACCTTTTAATCTGTTTAACTGAATTCAAAGATGAGATCTTTGCGGTAAGTGGATCAAAAAGACAAAGGTCTGTTGTCTCACTATAGATCATTAGTGTTAAAGTGCTACTTTTGTGTAGAAAGTGAATCTGTTGAAATTCAGCAGGGGTGAATGTAACAGATTAAATCAGACATAGTTTATTAGTTCCATCCAGTCATTCCTATTTATTATTATTTGTTCTATTGGGTCTGCATCTGCATCTCCAACCTGTGTCATCTGGGGTTTATGTATGTGTGTGTGTGTGTGTGTGTGTGTGTGTGTGTGTGTGTGTGTGTGTGTGTGTGTGTGTGTGTGTGTGTGTGACATGGGTCAAAACTCTTTCCAACTGACAGAGAGAGAGATATTACCAGATCAACACCAAAGACCTGTGACCCAGTACTGCATCCTGCTTCTTCATTGAAAACGACAAGAACACAACACATCATAGGCGTAACAACATCAGCAATCTAATAATGTCATAATATATCAGTCACAGGGACATTTCTTTCTGCAGAACAAGTAGCCAACTTTCACTTTTGATACCAAGTATATTTTGCTGAAGATTACTTACTTTTACTTAAGTAGGATTTTGAATGCAGGTCCTTATCATTAGGTCCTATCATTATAGTATTATATATATATATCTTTACACTGTTGTAATGCTAAGGATTTCAGTATTTGTTCCACCACTGATGGTATCCATCACAAAGTACTGTGCAGTCAGATGTAGGCTACCTGCACCTGTACAGTTGTGACTAAACAGTCAGCAAACATAAGATAACCAATGTTTACTTTGTTTGTGCACTTTTCCCACACAATAGACCTGTCCTGGCAGCCAGTATTTTAAAGCACTAAAAACAAAAAGTAAATACATGTCAGTAATGTAACAGTTTTTCAACGTGAGTAGATCGCTGGCTTTCCACTGCTGCAGGCCAGCTCCAAGCAAATTAAATCTCGCAACAAGACAAACTGATGCAATTCAAAGGTGCCTCTCTGCACCTTGACGCACTCGCCTGATAACAGATGACCGTGGTGTTACGTGTCCGCGTCAAGATTACAGACAGTCCCGCCTCCTCTTGATAGACAGGATCAAACACCGCCCCCTGAATGTCTCATAACAACAGCTGGCAGCAGGGAGGGAGAGAGAGAGAGAGAGAGAGAGAGAGCAGGGAGAGAGCAGGGAGAGAGAGAGAGAGAAAGAGAGAGCAGGGAGAGAGAGGAGAGAGAGAGAGGAGAGAGAGAGAGAGAGAGAGAGGAGAGAGAGAGGGAGAGAGAGAGAGAGAGAGAGAGAGAGCAGGGAGAGAGGCAGGGAGAGAGAGAGAGAGAGAGAGAGCAGGGAGAGAGAGAGAGAGAGAGAGAGCAGGGAGAGAGCAGGGAGAGCAGCAGCCGCACACTCATCTGCCGCCTGGCTCCGTGTAGACATCTAAGCTTTGACTGCTGCTCTCTGTAAGAAAATACACGTAACGACTTCTCCGACGTTCACACAGCCCAAGGCGCATGCTCAGACTAACTGACGGTGCAGTGTTTTATTCAGGAAATCAGAGGTGAGTACAGCAAATGCCAGCCACAGCTAAACGCAGTGAAATCTGCGCCTGTACTTTGTGGCTTTTTTTTATTTTTTATTTTCGCATCAAAGCCAGCTAACGGGTTAGCTTTGCCCGAATCACTTTTGGCCGCCCTTCTCATCAATGTCAAACAGAAAGAGCAGAGCAGAGTCTGTTTGAGCGGACTGTTAGCTAGCTTTCACAGTCCAGCACAAAGCGGGACGTTTGGTAACGTTAGGGGGGTTTCTTTGCTGTTAGCTTGTAAAGATACTTTTACAGTACCTTAAGCTAATCTCTTAGCGCTCGTATCGGGTTTCCTTGACCAGCCCTTTATGTTTATACAGCCGAAGATGACGCTTTAACATAAACTACAGCCTGAAATCAGTGACAGTTATCGTTAGCGCAGTATTGTTGAGGTACACGTCGACTCACTCTCTCAAGACTGTCCTGACGCAACAAAGCCTGTTACAAGTTATGTTCAGCCCTTTTCTTCCTCAGTTGTTGTTGTTGTTGTTGTTGTTGTTGTAGTGCAAGTTTCCCTATTGTTTGGCTGTGAATCTTTCCAAGCCAGAGCACCCCTCAGACCCCAGTGGACCCAGTTCACCGACACCTTGTCCCCCGGTGAAGGCATCTGCTAAATAAACATGCATAAGAGTGACTGAAAATAGGTCTACATGGTATTCTTATCGAAAGGGAATTAAAAAAACAAACACAGTGAAGCTTTTGTCTTGACATGTTTTGACACGGTGTTAGTGGCCCTGTTGACAGTCCTTCTTTCTGCCTCTGCATGCGAATGTCATTTGCATTTGTGGTGGCACCAAGAACAAGAAAGTCTCTGCCTTTCCTTCCTGCAGACCAGCCTCTCCGCTGACAGTAGAAGAACGATTAGTGTCAGCACGGGAGAAGAAAAACCCCACTGGCCATTAAAAAGACAAGGCCTAACAATCCACTAAGGCAGACATTCATGAGATTTTCCCCATATTCACCGATTGGCTCATATGGTTGTTTTTCTTGTTTGGCCTCTTAAGCTCGTTTGTGTGTGGCCCCATGCAACAACCAAACAAAGATTTAATTATATGCTCTGTAACTATAGCCTAGTAGTGACCCCGTGTTAAACTGGTTTAATGGTTTTTGTCTTGCTTTTGACATAGTTCTTTGACTTGCGAGGCTGTATTGCCATAACATGGTACATTACATACTAGTTTGGATCCTCATTATGAACACACTGGTCTAACCTTGATGCCCACCCCGCTCCCCCGCCTCATCCTCTACTCCCTCTGATTGTAGTTTCAGAACACCATGGGAAAATCCCTGCTTTAGATTTATGAAGATGATTAAACTGTTCTCTAAACTGGATCTGTTCTGTTGCATACATTTTGAATTTCCTTGCTGTCAAAGCTGAGCACAGCAAACACAACCTCTTTTAAGTTATTAAACACTCATACTGCTGTTTCTTTTTGTTTAATGAAGAACACTAAATTTCAGTTTTCTTCAGGGATAGCATCGGGTTGTCTTTGTGTTTGACCTTACATTTTCAAATTGAGCCCCTCAGTATGTGTTACTTTGGACTTCTTTCTACTTCTCCACAGACACTGAAAAGTTTTAAAGATGACAACTTCATGGAGTGATAGACTGCAGAACTATGCAGACTTGCCTGCCAACATGGACGGCCTGACAATGAAAAAATACAGAAGAGAGCCATACCACAGGTAAGAAACGTGTTGAGGTACAGGTGCATTTCTAAGTATCTGAAACTACATCCAGATGGGATACTTGAGCATTTTTGTTTACACAAATTGAGCAGCCAGACAAAAGAATTTCCCTTCTGTTGTGTCGTAAACATGAATTACAGTGAAATGCAACTACTGGGGTGGGTAAAAAAAAAAACCTTGATATTAAGGAAGGAATTACAGTCAGTCAGCCCATACACAAGCAGGCCATATTTCAAAAAGGTGAATTTGTAATAACAAGAAATGGATATATTTTTTTGGAACAATTACAAAAATCTCCAAATAAACTGCATCAACAGCAGGAATAGTTTTTTGGAAATCAAAACTTGGTTTGGCAGACTCAAACAAAATAGCTAGCATCAAACTGCCATGTAAGTGAATCTGAATATTTTCTTCTGAACTTTCATACATCCTCTACACTGTTACTTTTTATAGTCATTATAACTGAGTGAAATGTCACTGACCAACCAGATCACTGTGAAAATAATATTTAGCATTACAGGCTTTTACAATAGCCCAAACATTATAGAAAGTTTCTCTTCCAAAGGCATTTTTATTTTATACATTTTTGTATTAGTAATTAATATTATTGCTATTATTTCTGAATTGATTTGTCACTTAAGTTTGTGAACTTGAATTGGGATATAAATAGGTTTTGCTGGCTGAGATTTCATGTCCAATCGATTGTTTCTTGGGTGTGCTTTTCTGTCTGTTAAGCAAAATATACACCCTTCTTTCTGTAGACAGGAAACACCCTGTAATCACACTGGCTGAAAGGCTGATGTAAGGAGGCATTTTCTCCTTGTCAGAGTAATAAAACTTGTGTTGCTGTTCAATCTTTAACTCTGCCTGAGACGTGCGTGTCCACTGGGCACTGCTGTTCTTTTGCAGCCTTATATAATAAGCAATGCTCACAGGGCTTATGAAACTGCCACTCATCTGTTAGCTCTGTGTTTGCTGTGCTGACATAAGTCACCCAGTCCATGATCCTCCCAACCCCCCAATCCTTTCCAGACACACTCACGCATACAATCAGACGTGCAAAGATAACAAAGATGGTATTGAGCTCACTAAACAGTATACTTGTGACGGCAGATCTGTTTAATTAAATTTACCATGGCTGCTTGGTCTCTTTAATCATGTTGTTTTTTTTAATGTAAGAGACCATTGAAGGTGACCTTTGGTTTGTCTCACAGACAGAGAAAGACAATTCCTTCAAAGTAAGAGCTCAGCTGAAGCAGTGCAGTCTGATAGTGAGCTGCGTGTCACATAGCAGAGGGCTGAAGACTCTGCCCAGCACAGATAAACTTTCTATCACACTGACTCCAATCACTGTCTTTGTGAGATTAGAGAGCATTGGAAAAAGTCTGGCCGATTGTCACACAGCTGTGCTCAGATGGAGTAAAAGTTTTGAAGGGATTCTGTCGTAGATGTGGTGTTGCCCTTGTGGGCTATTTAAAGGCAGTAGTTTTATCAGCAGGACCAAAGCTGAGGCTGAATCAGGTAATGACGTCACTCCCACCCACTGCCAGTATGGGTGTGCTTAGGAGAGGCACGACCTTACTTAAGTTATCATTATGGATGTCCTTTACTACTCCTCCCACAGGCATGGAGCAGGAGGTCACATATAAAATGATAACGGCACAGTGAAATAGAAGAGCTTGAAAACTGGGAAAGGCTTGTGTTCACTCAGTGCTGAGAAACACACAATGTAATGTAGTGCATTTGTTTTGATTGGTCAGGAGGACCTCTGCTTTGGACAGGTCTACATTATATGGAAGCTGAATAAGGCCAAATAATCTAAGCAATTGAATACCTACATAAATAACCAGTGCTAAATACCTAATGTTGAAGTGCACACACCGCTGAAATGAAAGCATTGAAATATTTTAATATTCAAGTTTTGCTATTTGAAAAACTAGATTTTTCCGAATTCATGAGTTCAAATGTTTTGGGTTTAAAGTCTTTATTTTCATGGATCATAGGACTGACAGAACATAATATCATTTCTGGCTCAGGCTTGATTGCTTATCCTCACTAGTTTCAAAGTTTTGAAATTTTCATTTTAAATTTTGGCTCACTCCAAATTTTTTAATTTCTTTTTCATACATTTTTATTTCAAAATTACTAATGAATTTGAATTTGAGCATTTTGAACATTTTTTGAATATCGAACACAATTTTTTTTATTTACTAGTGATTAAATGTCACAATCATGTTTTCAGTTGCCTGTTTTTGCTTCCCTACATCCATAAAAAAAATAGAAAAAAATCTGCTTCTTCTCAGAAACAAGTCAAGTTATTGTGCAAATGTTTAGATTGAATCAGATCTCAGTATGGTAAGCAGCTGTTGCTTGGGGCCGGGGCTTGCTTGATTCTACCTGACTTGTGATTGTTCTGGATATCTTTGAGGGCCCACAAACATCATGCACAACAACAACCCTGACTGACACACAACAACAGAGAATGACGGGGAATGGCCACAATCATTTTTGCAACAAGTCAGAAAATTTCTGAATGGCAAGAAAGCAAAGCGGGGGGGGCGGGGGGTATTGTTTGTGGGCCAGAGCTGCCCATGAGAGCAGGTCGGACTAACTGAGAGTCAAACTGAGGTTTAATTTCGCACAGAATGCATCGCCAGTCGTCTACTGGACTAAGATCTAAATGGCAACTTGTTCACTATGGATCTGCTGCCAGGTATTTCACAACTGATTGAAGAGATTGGTGAAGATGAAGGTCATTATTTAATGGCAAGAAACCTAGGCTGTCAGTCAGTTTCGAGCTTGTGTATCAGATTATTGTGCTAGTTAACAGTGATGTTACCTTGTTTTTGCTTCAGTGTGACATTTTTGTTCTCCCTTTTTAGCTCATTTACATCTTATTTCTAGCATGACTAACTATTGACTGGTGTGGAAATATCTAGGAACACAGCTACAGACACAGATGTTGAAGATAAGCTATGTATTGTGCCACCAGTTATGTTGATGTAAATAATAGTGATATTAAGTACGCTTGTGATATTCAGCGTTTCACTGTACTTTGTTCCAGTTTTTTCAGATATTGTCAAAACTGATAATTTAGCTTTTCCTAAGCTAAGTTTGCAAGTCACTAAGAAGTACCACCAACATTGTAACAGATCTAAAATAATATACTTCACAAAGCAAACAGTCAATCTGCAACTTCCAGCAATGAATGTGTAGAATGACGTGTATTAATAGTCATCATGGCTATTGCGATCATGGTTATCATTGTGTTGTTTCTTTAAATTTGCCCTATATTGTTTCATTAAGTGCGGGACTAAATTTAACTTTGCTATCTTTCTTTAATGGATGCTGAAAACTTTAGAATTCTTGCAATGTAATGCCACACAATTGATTTATTATTTTAAGTACAAATGTCACATAATGAAAACATAGGTGAAAAACAAACCTTTGATGTTATTGTTGCCAGATAATTAAATCTGCTTAACGTGGAACCCTGTTGGGTTCATGCGGGTTCAACTTGTGACACAGTAAGACATGAATGTCACTGTTATTGTTATTAGCCGAAAAGTGACGAGAGGCTGACTTGGATACATTTTTGATATAAGCAGCACATAATGTCAACACTAATAATAATAGTTATGAATGCAAATGACACATAGCTTGAGGGCTATTTTAATGTCAGAATGTCTATAATCTCCCTGTGTCCACTCACTGACAGAAGTATATGCAGTAACAATATAGGATCATCAAATTGCTTAATCCCACTAATACTTGAAGTACTGAACATGTGCACATTTCCTTGTGTAATTAACTTATTGTGTTGTAGCAGTGTTTTTGGTACATTTTCACACTACCAGCTTTTTTAAAGTACTGAATAGACCCACTATATCCCACAATCTGGGTTATAGTAGGTCTATTCATTTGGTGAAACAGCTCAAATAAATATATTCTGCAGAGCACAGTGCAGCCTGCCAGAATAAATGCTAATCTTATTATTGAATATTGCATTGCAACTGAAACATTTTCTCAACTTTTTTTTCTCTAGAGTGTTTGTCAACAGAAGCTTGGCAATGGAGAAGATAAAGTGCTTTGGCTTTGATATGGATTACACTTTAGCAGGTAAGTTGAATACAAACTCACCTCACTAATCACCAGTATCGAAGCAGTTGCTTTATGATTTAGTTGATCTTTTTTGAAAATTTTGACTTGGAAAAAGTACAAATCATTTGCTGGTTACTGCCTCTTAACAATGAGGATTTAATTTTTTTTTCTTCTTTTGTCACTTCCTTGTTGTTAATTGAATTTTAAAGTGAAAATAGACAAATACATTAATTGGTAGTTAACAACAATCATTTGTTCCAGCCGCGCACACGGTACTACTACTACTACTACTACTTTTAAATGTTCAGTATGCGGCCCCACTTGGCTAGAGGGTTGCATAGAAATCCTCAGTTTACATACGTTGTCCTTCCTGTTGTCATATTAATAATGAAGACTAGTACAAATAAGCAAGTGTCACTTGTTAGTCCAGCCCAACAAAAACGTTAAGAGACAGTAAATGCATCCACTGAAGTCAATCAAAAAATATGCATTGATCAAAAAGAGAAGAAAATAACATTTTATTAATACCTGGGTAGATTTGTATTTTGACAGAGTATGTATTTTCTGATTACCTTTTGAATCTGAAAAAAAATCCATAGTTGTTGAAAAAGGTATATAGTGTCCTGACTTTTCAACTCTGGCTACCCTACCATCCCCCCAGGCCTGCAGCTTGTTGTCTACAAAATATTATTTAGGTCAATGCCAGTGACACATCAAGCACAATATAACACTTTGATAACAAAATGCTAAGCATAGCTCTCTGGTACACAAAGTGGATTGCATGGAGATGCTCTTTTTCCTACTGACCAGTAACTGGGCCAAATATATCCAGATTTTTCATGCTACTTTGTTCTGTGACTCAGATCCAGTTTTTGGTCTCTCCATTTCTAAAAATAAATCCTCCCTGACTTTGAAAAGCAGGTCGCGTTTGTTTGTTGAGTTCACCACTGATGGCTCCCTTGAGAACGGGGATCACTCGTAGTCCCTGTCTGGCTCTGTACCTCTATCCCTGTTCAAAATGCAGAAGATTTCACAGACGCTCAGCTGTTGACATGACTCTGTTTATGGGCGCTCATAACCAAGTGTTAATGTTTGCTTGAAGCTAGCTATCATGTATCTTTGGATGGTGTTCAGGTTTTGACCACAGAAATACTTTATCATCTCCAGGGAGCTGGTTGTGTCACAGAGTGGCTGCTGCTTCGTCACAGCCCCCTGCACTGACTTCAGGATTTGTTTTTAGGGGGAGTTCAGACGTGCAAAGTGTGCTTTTAAAAAAATCCTTAGCACTTAATTTCTGTATGAAACTGTAACTATTAAATGTTCACAGTATGGCAATGTGCCGAAAACCAATTTGATGATTGTGTATATCCTGAAAAGTTGTTTGAGGCATGAGAAAAATGTTGGCAGTGCTCATACCTCGTATGTAATAGTTAAACTAACGGATGTTTAAACCTCCAAAGCCACCATATTAACTGGTAGCAATGTGTTTTATTCCAACCAGCAATGATTGGTTTGCCAGAGCTGAAGAAGGGAAGCAACTGTAACGACCATAGCAACTCAGTATGGCAGAGCCGATATGTCACAAGCTTGTGTCCACAGAGTTGCATAACTACTGTTGCTGTCAGAAGGGGGAGACAAAAGTTCTGCACAGTAGATTTAAGTAAAAGTTTCTCAGTTCTTTGATGTTTACTTTTAAAGTAGTCATGATAGAAACATGCTGATGCACATGTCCTGATGCAGGTAAATATTCTACATGCTAGTGCCTTATCTGTTGTTTTTCTACAGCACGGTTGGGTAATATGATTATATACACTGCTCAGCCACAACATTATGACCCCCCCTTGCCTAATATTGTGTAGATCCTCTTTTTGCTGCCAAAACAGCCCTGAACTGGCATGGATTCCACTAGACCTCTGAAGGTGTGCTGTGGTATCTGGCACCAAGACATAATTCCCCAGATCTCAATCCAATCGGGTATCTGTGGGATGTGCTGAACAAACAAGTCCAATTCATGGAGGCAACTTACAGGACTTAAAGGATCTGCTAACGTCTTGGTGCCAGATACCACAGTACACCTTCAGAGGTCTAATGGAGTCCATGCCTCGACAGGTCAGGACTGTTTTGCTGGCAAATGGGGGACCTACACAAGGTAAAGCATGAGATCATAATGTTGTGGCTGACCAGTGTATATACAAGACAATACATAAACCGTTTAGTAAGAGTTTAAAAGTCAAAAATTATACTTGTGCAAAATATCAGTAAAATCCTTTAAAGCCGCTGAAAACTTAAATATCCTTAATAATTCAATTCAATTCAATTCAATTTTATTTATATAGCGCCAAATCACAACAACAGTTATCTCACAGCGCTTTTCATAAAAGAGCAGGTCTAGACCGTACTCTGTGATGATATTTACAGAAGCCCAACAGTTCCCACCAAGAGCAAGCACTAGGCGACAGAGGCAAGGAAAAACTTCCTTTTAAGAGGCAGAAACCTCGAGCAGAACCATGGCTCAGGGTGGGCGGCCATCTGCCTCGACCGGTTGGGGTGAGAGAGAGAGAGAGAGAGAAAGAGAGAGAAAGAGAGTGAAAGAGAGAGAGAGAGAGAAAGAGAGAGAGAGAGAGAGAGAGGGATGTAAGGAGAGAGAGAGGGGAGGGAGGCAGCCTACACAATATACACACAGAGGTACAGACAGCGAAGGTAATGTTGCTATAAACTAAATGAAAAATGGTACAGATATTTATAATAGTGTTAATGGTAACCATCGTAATGTTAATGATTATAATAACAATAAGACTAGCAACAATAGTCGTTGCAGTAGAGGGTGTCGAGCAGGAACACGGGGGCAGCAGGCGACCCGCAGCCACAGATCCAGACTCCACAGCTCCAGAGCCAGAAAACCTGCAGGAAGTGATAGGAGGAGAGAGGAGAGGGACGAGAAAGCACAAGACTACCAGAAAGGGGAGAAGTTGTGTTAGTAACATGCAATAATGGGATAAGGTTGCATACAGAGGGAGAGAAAGTAGAGGAGAGAGGAGCTCAGTGCATCATGGGAAATCCCCCGGCAGTCTAGGCCTATAGCAGCATAACTAAGGGATGGTTCAGGACTACCTGAGCCAGCCCTAACTATAAGCTTTATCAAAGAGGAAAGTCTTAAGCCTACTCTTAAATGTGGAGATGGTGTCTGCCTCCTGAACCCAAACTGGAACCTGGTTCCACAGGAGAGGAGCTTGATAGCTGAACGCTCTGGCTCCTAGTCTACTTTTGGAGACTCTAGGAACCACAAGTAACCCTGCATTCTGGGAGCGCAGTGCTCTGGTGGGGTAGTAAGGTACTATGAGCTCTTTAAGATAAGATGGTGCCTGACCATTAAGAGCTTTGTAGGTAAGAAGAATGATTTTAAATTCTATTCTGGATTTTACTGGAAGCCAATGCAAAGAAGCTAAAACAGGAGAAATGTGATCTCTTTTCCTGGTTCCTGTCAGAACACGTGCTGCAGCATTCTGGATCAGCTGAAGAGTCTTAATGGACTTTTTCGAGCAGCCTGATATAAGGAATTGCAGTAATCCAGCCTAGAAGTAACAAATGCATGGACTAGTTTTTCTGCATCATTTTTAGACAGGATGTTCCTGATTTTCGCAATATTACGTAGGTGAAAAAAGGCGGTCCTTGAAATTTGCTTAATGTGGGACTTAAACGACATGTCCTGATCAAAGATAACTCCAAGATTCCTCACAGTGGTGCTGGAGGCCAAGGCGATGCCATCCAGGGAAACTATATCTTTAGATAATGCGTCACGGAGGTGCTTAGGCCCCAGAACAATAACTTCAGTTTTATCTGAGTTTAACATAAGAAAATTACAGCTCATCCAGGTTTTAACATCCTGAAGGCACATTTGAAGTTTAGCTAACTGATGAGTTTCATCTGGCTTGATCGATAGATATAACTGAGTATCATCTGCATAACAATGAAAGCTTATGGAATGTTTCCTGATAATATTGCCTAAAGGAAGCATATATAAAGTGAAGAGGATTGGTCCAAGGACAGATCCTTGAGGAACTCCATGAGTAACTTTGGCGTGCATGGAGGACTCATCGTTAACATGTACAAACTGAAATCGATCTGATAAATAGGACTTAAACCAGCTTAGAGCGGTTCCTTTAATGCCAATGAAATATTCCAGTCTCTGCAATAGGATCTGATGGTCAATGGTATCAAATGCAGCACTAAGATCTAATAAAACCAGTACAGAGACAAGTCCTTTGTCTGATGCAATAAGGAGGTCATTAGTAATTTTCACCAGTGCTGTCTCTGTGCTATGATGAGCTCTAAATCCTGACTGAAAATCCTCAAATAAACTATTGCTCTGTAGAAAGTCACACAGCTGTTTAGCAACTGCTTTCTCCAGAACCTTAGAGAGAAATGGAAGGTTAGATATAGGTCTATAGTTTGATAAAACATCCGGATCAAGTTTGGGCTTTTTCAGAAGAGGTTTAATTACAGCTACTTTAAAGTACTGTGGTACATAGCCTGTTGATAAAGATAGATTGATCATATCTAGTATAGAGGTGCTGACTAAGGGTAAAACATCTTTAAGCAGCCTAGTCGGGATGGGGTCTAAGAGGCAGGTTGATGGTTTAGATGAAGAAATTATTGAAGTTAGTTGGTAAAGATTGAGGGAAGCAAAACAGTCTAAACATGTATCTGGTTCTACCGCTGTTTCTAAGGTTCCTGAGTTAAGAGATAAGTCGGTCCAATTGAGGGCAGATCTTGGTGAATTTTGTCTCTAATAGCTAGAATTTTATCATTAAAGAAGCTCATGAAATCGTAACTACTGAGAGCTATGGGAATACTTGGCTCAATAGAGCTGTGACTCTCTGTCAGCCTGGCTACAGTGCTGAAAAGAAACCTGGGGTTGTTCCTATTTTCCTCTATTAATGACGAGTAGTACGCTGCTCTGGCATTACGGAGGGCCTTCCTATAAGTTTTAAGACTATCTTGCCAAATTAAACGAGAAT